GCCACATTCTCGCCCCGAGTGTGGACAGACGCCCCGAGCGTGGACAGATGCCTCGAGCCTTCAACTGCGTGGCTGCTGACTGCAGCCTTGAGCCACCACAAAGCAGGGTTCTGAAGTAAGAGTTTCATCTTTTTAAAAGACTATTCCAAATGACGAGCTATTTCTTAGATGGCTGAAGTCATAAGTCATGAACTGTCCTAGACACATAGCCAGCACAAGGACACAATCCCCAGAGAGCTCAGCGAAAAATCCCAACAGACTTCGGCTGCTTTCAGAGACTAAGCACTCACTCAGTGTCCTGACCAGACACAGAAAGAGAGCACGAAATGCACCGGCGAGCAAGTTAGGCAGGACGCAGCTTCACATGAATAAATACAGTAGTAATTTTAAAAAATGTGGAGAGAAAAGACTGCGTTCTTCAATCTCCCCCCTCCCAGAACCCAAGCTGCAGCCTTCAGATGTGGGACGGCAGGGGAGGGAGAGACCAGGAGGGGCCCAGGTCTGGTCTTTCTCCTGCAGTCTCTGGAGTGCCCAGAAGATGTACTGGTGTGCATGCTCCCTGTGCCTGTCCGTCTACACCACCTGGCCACGTGGCTACCACACGACCTGTGATGGGAGGAAAACAGCCATCTTGGAAAGCGCCAACCACCCCAGACGCTGTTCAGATGCACACATTACCCCTGACCAATCCAGAAACAGCTATACCACTAAGTGTAAGGGGCTTCCTCTGTCTTCTTTCTCCAGGAGTGTGAGTGAGGAGGTAGTTAACCTCTTTCGAGAGTCACACATGCTCATTGATAAAAAGCTGGACCGGGCCAGCCCGCTGGTGTAGCGGTTAAGTTCGCGTGCTCTGCTTCAGCCGCCTGGGGTTCATGGGTTCAGATCCTGGGCGCGGACCTACGCACCGCTCATCAAGCCATGCTGAGGTGGCATCCCACATACAGCAACTAGAAGGACGTGCAACTATGACATACAACTATCTACTGGGGCTTTGGGGAGAAAAAGGGAAAAAAGGAGGAAGACTGGCAACAGATGTTAGCGCAGGGCCAATCTTCCTCAAAAAAAAAAAAAAAAAGCGGGCCCTCCACAGGCAAGCAAGGAGCCAGGCTGAAGGCGCAACAGAAACGAAAGCGTTGCTGTAGGCTCAGACTCTACTCTGGTTGTGTCAGTGTGTCACAACTTCTCTCTTTTGACGCCCTCACATGCAAAACCACAGAACCAGAGCTGGACCAGCTCTTGGGTGCTTAACTTTAAAATTCTAAGATCCAAAAACATCTAAATTGCATTAGGACACATTCTAAGAAGATACACGAACAGACTGATGGCAAAGAGCTTCACTCAGAGTACCTCTTTGGTCCCTGGAGCATAAGCGTGACCTGGACCAGGGCATATCACGACAGCTCTGCAGCTCACACCGATCCCCACACCACCTTAGAGGGGAGCCCACTGTGCCTTCTCCATAGCAGCCTCTTTATCCTTCTGCTCAAAGCTGCTACAAGGCAGAGGCATAAGCTAACGATGGGTGTGCTCAATCTTATCCAAGATGTAATTTTTGCAAATATAAAAGGAAAGGAAGTCACAAAAAGTAAAAGTAGCTATAAATGTTAATTAAGAGAGTTTAGAAATTTTAGGATTTAGAAAAGTCATGTTATTAAACTGTTATTAATTTTAAAAATTAAAAGTTGATGTCAAGGGCTGGCCCGGTGGCCTAGTGGTTAAGTTCACGTGCTCCACTTCGGCGGCCCGAGGTTCGCAGGTTTGGATCCCGGACGAGGACCTACGCGTCAGTTATCAAGCCATGCTGTGGTAGGCGTCCCACATATAAAGTAGAGGAAGATGGGCACAGATGTTAGCCCAGGGCCAATCTTCCTCAGCAAAAAGAGGAGGACTGGCAAGAGATTTTAACTCAGGGCTAATCTTCCTCATGAAAAAAAAAAAGTTGATGTCAAACCTTCTAGATAAGACAATTCTGTTAAAACAACAGAGCAGCAAGTTAGGGAATGAAGGAAGTCAACAAACAGAGAAGAGTAAGGAGAAGGCTCTATGGTGACGGCAGTGTTAGAATATCCTGAGTTGTAACTGTGTCTAACACTCACCCTCTGTCAGTTGGTCAGTTGATCGCTATTATGACTAAACCAAAACAGGAAGTTTCACATAAGGCTACATGAAAATAACCGAGAACCTGCTAAGACATTACAAACACCACAGCGACTATATACTGGAAAGCTTTAAATTTTTGTTAACATTATTTAAAAAGATTTAATAGGAAATAATTCAAATAGTATGGTCTATTATTGCTACCCATATCAAAAATAATGGCCCAAATGCCAGATAATAGAAATGTTTAATGCACCAAACAGACCCCCTGCATGTACAATTGCATAAACTGGAAGATTTTATCATTTATATTGGAACTTCCCCGACCTTCAAGTTCACATTTTAACAGTTAAAATAAAAAGATAACAATGTTTACAAGTGGTAGAATTTGTGCTTTCTTTTCTTTTATGCACGCCAACTTTACCAAGCTGAAACGGTTTCCTACATCTGCACAATAAGTAAACAAAAATGAGACAAATGGCTAACAAACAAGATGTAAGCGCCCCCTAGACCCTAACGCCATTGAGTAAGGTGAACAGCTCTTATTTAAGGGGAAGCACAGGGTCCACAGCAACCTGTGACCCCTGAACCAGAACAGGATGGTCCATTAATGAAGTAAACGTTGCCCTGGGTGTTTCCCTCTCAGGACCCCAAGTCCTGCTGTGGGGCAGGACCACCGCGTGGACGGACAGCTGAGGGACTGCCTCCCCCAGTTACAGCTGAACAAAGTGACACAAGGTTTCAAAAGGTGGGAGAGTTGCAGAGGGGCCACCAGAGGTCAGGACACCTCATCTTGGCCGTCCACAGCCCAAAGCAGCTCATCCAAACACATCACAGGTTTGCGTGAATGTGGGGGTTGGGGGAAGTAACGCAACAGAGAAACACATTTCTAATCGGGCAAGTAGGATGTAGGCTACATGTTCCTAGTAAGGTATTGATCATCAAAAATGTTCAAAGTGTGTGTTGATTTATTTTTGAGTATCCTGCCACCAATTCCAGCACTGCGACAGCAGAGCATTGCTAGTTAAAAGAACTCATATTTTCAACCAAGTTTGACTATTTATTAGTGTCAGTATTTCCAGGCATTCCATTAGGCTGACAGGCACGATTTCAGAACAAGGCACGTCTTACCAGTTGTTGACTTGAAGTAGTGTCAAATTTGTCTGAGCAGCTATCTGCTTTTTCTCGTCTTCAGTGGGGTAGGGATGCTAAAGACACAAAGAAGGGTTACCATGAACTTCAGTCTTTAAAAAGGTACCTAAGATCATCTAGGTAAAATAGAAGCATGCAAATAATCATTAGTAAAAACCTGATAAGTATTAATAGTGATTTTAGCTAAAACCTAACTTTAGTGTTATAACTTTTTTTTAGAAATGTCCCAAACAGCATGAAGTATGTCTCCTAGCTGTCCTGGTTGAAGCATGGGCAGAGGTGTGGCAAGACAGAGTCTGAAGGTTCAAAGGTGATGATAACAGCAACACCACCGCCGAGAGCAGTGGCCCACACGGAGGCTGGCTCTGTGCCGGGCCGGGCACTGTTCTAAGCACCTGATACCATCTGTGGTTTTTGTATCAACTTCACTGAGGTATCATTTCATAAACTGCATCTATTTAAAGTAGATAAATGCTTGAGTTTTGACCCATGAAACCTCTGCCACAGCGAGACACAGCACGTGTACCACCCTGTACATTGTATAGTCATTCACTGATTCCTCACAACCACCTTCTGAGACAGACACTGTCGTCATGTGAGTTTACAGAAGAGGAAACTGAGGCAGGAGAGTTCATACACTCCCCCCGTCGCACAGCTGGTTCAACAGAGAGGGCAGGTAGTGGCCAGACAGGCAGCTCATTCGGTGACAGGCTTCTACCAGGGGCACTGTGAGAATACACCCCCACTGGGACGTGCTGATGTCATCTACGACTTTCCAGGAACAAAGCTCTGCTAGGTTAACGTTTGCTGTCGGTAAGAACTGCACCAAGGGCTGGGGATGGGACTGTCTGTTATACGACTCTTTCTTTCATGTATGATTAAAATATTTCACTTTAAAAAACAGAATTAAACCAGAAATAAATATCAAAATTCACAGATGCACCAAAGGAAAATGATTTCTATCTACAGTAATAAACAATTTCTCCAAGATTGATTACTATCCACATGTAGAAACCAATAAGATATTTACTCTAAAACCTACATACACCAAAGTCCCTTACTTTGGACCGAATTGGGACCCCAGAGAGTGAATGGCACCAACAGAGTAAGGAGGTGGGAGTTTATTTTGGTTTTTATTTTGAGTGAACTCCCAGTATGTTGGAAAAGCCACTGTATATTATGGTGATGATGGAACAGCATCAGGTTGATCTCAGCAGTAGACCAGTAGTTTCCTGAAACTAACTGACAGTAATTCACAATTTGATTCTATGGATGAGCACACAGCCCCGAGTTAGATGTTATGGAAACATAAATATTGATCTCGCCCTTTAAAACCTCATAAAATAAAAAGGGGGCAGGAAACATAAGTACACAAACGAGAAAAAAAAAAAAGTAGTAAATGCTGTCCTAGAATATTAGGAAAACCACAAGGAGATGACAGTATTTCAAAGAAATGAAAGCAGAAGAGACAGAAAATGCTTCATAGGACAAAAAATGGCATTTTACTTGAACCTATGAGCATGTGTTATTGTTCTAGAAATTATTAAAACATTCATAGAAACTTAAAAGGAAAATAATCTCACCAGTTATTTGTTTGTATTCTAATCATTATATTACAGATACAGTTATTAGTTGTAATAATCAGTATATTTAGAAATACGTATGTTCTACTTTTTCACTTACTACCATCTACCTGAAGTTTCCTGGTGCTTACAGCCCTCATTTATCATGTTAACCAGTTGTATAATAATATTCCATCAAATTGATAGTCCTAATTCACACACCAACTCATTTCCCATTAGTATAATGACCATCACTGTACCATTTTATCCATAAAATCTTGTATTCTCTTGTGAATCTTTTTAGGACAAATTTTTACACAGTCACACTGCCCGAAGATAGCTCTGTTCTTTCTCCCGACACATCCCGCCGTGAACTGCATGGGAATGGCTCAGCAGAGAACAGAACACCACAGCAGAAGAGAAGAGAGAATCTGGGGTCCTAGTGCTCAAGGAGGGGCAGCCTGGGCTCCTCAGGGCTTCCCCCCAGGAAAGAGAGGGGGTCTCCTCCCCTTGCCAGCTCAGCGACATCACGTGGTAGTTCAAAGCTGGGAGCCAGGGGCCAGCCCAGGGTGCAGCAGTTAAATTCGTGCATTTCGCTTCAGCGGCCCGGGGTTTGCCAGTTGAGATCCTGGGCACAGACCTACTCACTGCTCATCAAGCCACGCTGGGGCGGTGTTCCACATAGAAGAACTAGAAGGACCTACGACTAGGATATATAACTATGTACTGGGGCCTTTGGGGAGGAAAAAAAAAAAAAGAGGAAGATTGGCAACTGATGTTAGCTCAGGGCCAATCTTCCTCCAAAAAAAAAAAGCCAGGAGCCAGTTGCTGCCTTGGACCCCTGCCCCTCAGCAAAGGAGCCTGACTCCAGTTAGAGGAACATAGGGGGCTGCTCAACAGTGACAAGGGCTAACCCCCCAGAAGGGACATGAGATGACCGAGACCAGGTGCTGGTCGCAGGGCTCCCAGTCGGGGAGAGCATGGAGACAGGTGATAAATGCAGCCTCAGGCCCAGGTGATGGGCACCTCCAGAGGGTGACAGACACCTCTGCTGACAGCCACAGCACACCAGGACGCAGATGGTGAGGAAGTGGCCGCAGCCGAAGACACTAGGGGGTCACCACGGCATGAAGCAAAGGGGCAGGCCCGGGCCACCCCCACAGCTCTTAGGAACAGCCTGGCGGCCTGGGCCACGTGCACGCCAGAGAAACCTGAAGACGGGCCGGAAGCACCCAGCTGCAAGGCTGGTTCAGGAGGCCATGGGGCAGCTTCCTGCCGGACCTCTGACCTTCTGCGCCTCGTGACTACAGGAACGGCCTCTGCATCTGCGCCCGAACGCCCCTGCGGGCTCTCTTCCCCTGCATGGACACAGCTGTAGAAGCAGCGAGCATCCACTTTCCCGCCTTGTTCCAGCATGGGCTCCTGAGAGCCATCCTGGTCATTGTGACCTTGGCCGCCAGACCAGGCTGTCACTCCTGAAAGCTGCTCTGGGTCACTCGCCTCTCCCGAGTCCCACGGCGTGAGGACTGAGGGGGTCAACCAGGTAAGAAGCGAGTCTTCCCATGACACCCATCGGCACATGTGTGCTTCCTGCAACAGGATGTCTTCACGGAGAAGACGCGGCCGAGCGAGGGGAGGACACGAGGCGCAGACAACGTGAGAGGAGTCGGTGCTGCCTACTGCCCAAACTCCGTCTCAAGTTCAACAAGCCCCTCTGCCGACCCTCAGTCGATGAGCTCAACCCTACACCTCTATCTTTGACCTTATCACGTCTCCGTTTCAAATCCAATATATAAAATAAAATCACTATTTTCCAAGGTTTTGCCCAAACGCATCTTTTCTCTGCCCACTTCTCTAACTAACCTCACCTCACCCAGTCACTGCGCACGGGTACTTTCTCACATGTGCACATATACGATCAATAGGAGCTGAATTTATCCCCTCTTCCCCAGTGTACCCTCATTTATTTTAAGTTTCTGGAAGCCATGTCCTCCGCGTTCTGGTAACCCTCCCTTCTGTCCCGTGCTCAACCCATTATGGACAGTCAACAAAACACTGATACTTCAAACCTGGCCTACTAGCCCCTATAAGTAAATGTTTCCCAGACGATAAGCCAGGAGGAAGCCTGTGGAGGGTCCTGCTCACTGTGAGGCCCTGGCCTTACCCCTATGTGCTGAAAGAGCCACGACCGCATCACGTTGGTGGCGTGCTTCGGCAGAACTCCCCTTTTATTCTTGGAGGAGCCATCATCTTGATGCAAAATGCTGAGATCTTGGTTCAACTGTAACTGTAGCTTTTAAACAATTGAAAAACAGTGTTAAAAAGCATAGAAATTATGACACGTCCAAGTAGCTTACGACTGCACGTGGAGAAAATAACCAAGGATCTTATGGGTAAATGACTTATTTTCTGTAAAGGCATATACTCAGTATGGGCTAATTTTTTGAGGACATGGTTCCCTCTGCATTATCACTCTCTACACTTGTGTCTCAGCTACTTGGAGGCCCCTTGTCTGGTGAGGCAGGTGGGATGGACACTGACAAGGCCTCTGAGTAGTTCACCCTGCACATAAGTGAATCCCCCAGTCCTCTCATTCCCACCTGCTCTCATCTTGCTTCCTCTAGTAATGGACGTGATCACATCCGATTTCCTAGCCTAAAAGAGATTTCAAGCAACCAATGAGAATGGACAGGGAAGCTGGAAGTGCCATCATCAAGGAGGCCATATGCCAGTTGAACAGAGGAGAAAGAAACAAATACACAACGTGCGGACAAAGGGACCACAGAGCAACGGGGCTAAGGCCTCAGCGGCCACTGAAGACACTGCCTCCCTCATCCCTGAGAAAAGCATAAAACACATTCTGTCCATTCCATTTCAAGAGGAAAGGACGTGCATGACACTCCTTAGACAAGCAGCCTTCACACGAACATGAGAAAAGATCTGCGGCCATGCTTCAGGCCCGGCACATGTCTCAGGCACAGCATCTCACCCCAGACGCCTGTGGAGACGGTGCCACCAGTGTTCACACTCGCACCAGGGAAGGACACACACCACTCGCTAGGCCCCGAGCACAGGCACGTCAGGACACTTCCGCTGCCACTCACGCTTTAATTTAGAACTCACTTTATAAACAAATGACGATCAACTTCTGTAGGTCAATTTCAGTATAACGTATTCACAGACATAGTTTAAAGGATTTTTTGTACTTCTTCTAGATTTACATCACTTTGGATATACTCTTAAAAACCCTGAACACCAACATCTAAACAGGCAGAATTTATGACTTAAAGGAGATAGTATGACTGCAAACTGAATCTAAAATTTCTTAAAACGCAACATTATTACTAAGGGCATAATTGTTTTTTGGAATGTATTTGTTTGTTTGTTAAAGGACTGAAAGTAAATGGTACGAAGCACCGCCTGTATGCTCATGTTTGTGTGTACAGGAGAAAGAATGGAAAATGAACTTTTAAAACTAGTCCCAAAGCACCAGGGCCAAAATTTAGTTTGCTGGCCTTATCTGTCTCAATTTAATATATGACCTTCTTCATGAAATCTGACATGTGCTTCAGTGTTTCTTTTTTTGTGCAAAGTTAAAACAGAAGTGGGCTCATAAATAGGCAAAGTGACAGCTGGCTGCATGACTCGACTTCACAGATGCCACCACAGGGGCCTGGCGCAGACCAGCTAACTCTTGAGAAAAAAGCAAGCCAAGGCCCTGAAAGGAGATTGCCCTCTTGCCCCAGCTGAACTCCAGCATATCCTGGCACTGGACAAGGCAGGGGGATTTAAAAGCTCAGGAGGGCCGGCCCTGTGGCTTAGCGGTTAAGTGTGCGCGCTCCGCTACTGGCGGCCCGGGTTTGGATCCCGGGCGCGCACCCACACACCGCTTCTCCGGCCATGCTGAGGCCGCGTCCCACATACAGCAACTAGAAGGATGTGCA